TGTACCTTTCAATGGTGCCATCAGCTCGATATTCGATAGTAAAAACCCACTTGCAACCAACTGGATCCTTCCCTTCAGGCAAATCAACCACTTCCCCTGTGTCATTCTTGTGTAGGACATCAATTTTAGATCTCATAGCATCCCTCCATTCTGGAATATTAAGAGCTTCTGACACAGACCTGGGAATAGGGTTAGAAGCAACAGAAGAGAGATAGGCAAAGTATGAAGGTGAAAGCAACCTGTAAGAAAGGTGTTTGGAAATGCAGTGTGCGGTGCACTTCCGTTTTCCTTTCCTAATAGTAATGGGAATATCAAGATCAGGGAAGGATGGCTCCAAGGGTGATGAAACAGTACCTATTGTCTCATCTGTGACTAGAAGTGTATGAGGCTCATGTGTTGTAAGGGAAACAACCTGCTCATTTCTGGATCTTTGCCTTTGATACACCTTGGGATTGAGGATAGGACGAGGAGGTAAAGGAAGAAGAACACTGGGGCAGGGAGAATGGAACGATTGACCCCCCCTTGGATTCAGTGCTGCGAATTGTTGCTTCTATTTGGCTGTTTTTGGGGCTTGTACGAACTGTTCCTGAGGCTTTTTTCTCACCTTTGACAGTGGGGTCTTCTTTACTGCCCACACTGTGCTTGTAAAAAGGCCTCTTCATCAATACAGACTGGTATTTACTCCTTTTGGGTACTTTTTGGTGATTACCTTGAAGTCCCTGATTAGAAAAGGAACTTCGATTGGGTGCACAATGCTTAGAAGTTTTCCGATTACTTCTTGAAGGCCGAACCAAACTGTTTTTAGTGTCTCGTGTAGACGACAAGGTGCTGCTTCAGACTTGGTTCTTACAGCTTCCGGGTGTGGTTTGGCCTTGTGTATTGCTGTCTTGAGGTTGGTTGAACTCAGTCCTTGCTCATCCTCATTCAGTACACTTGTAGAAGTCATATAACCCAGAAATTTGAGCACAACTTACAATATTTAAGCTTCAAATCAGAAACCGAACTGTTCCCCCTTTTTTTCTCTAATTCTTCCTGGTCACCGAACCACTTCTCCAAGAGATTTGAGTCTTGGGCACCTTCCAATGACCTCCAAGAATCAGGCAACACGAGCTGAAGCTTCTAGCCCTAGAACACTCTCATGCAGTCGGCTGGACTACACCCACATGAGAGCCTAAGCCAAGTTCAGGCCTGCTCTGATACCAAGAAGAAAAACAGTCCTTGAGAGTGTGGCAATGAGGGTTTAGAGAATGAGAGTTTCGAACATTACTCTCTCTAACACCCTAACACTATTTTATTAAGTTAAATTTGAATAATTACAAGGAGGCCCTTAGTTGGGCAAGAAATTACAAAGAACATAACATAGAAAGGATGGGCCCAAAATAAGGCCCATTACAAAAAGGAACATAAACAGTAAGAAAGAATAAACAGCCTATGGGCCATTCGGCCCATCTTCTCTACATGGTCATTTGGTCTAATGCACCAAAATCAATGATCCAAGGGATTTTATGATTACCTAAAATTGAAGCATGGTTTGCAGAAGCACGAATACCTGAGTGAGCAAATGTTAATGATGATGATGTGTTGCCTGAAGAGTGAGATGTAGAAATAGTAGCCTCCAAGTGATTTAACAGCCTTCCATACTTTTCAAATTCTGCCTTCATTGCGGCCAATTGTTCAATGGTTGACTTCTCTTCACTCTCCTTACTTCCTTCTTCTAGTACTGTGGAAACATTAGCTATCTTAGGCTTTCCTGTCTAATTTCCCTTCTTAAAATTATTGTTATTCTTAAACCGGTCAGGAAGAAGATCAGGATGAAGCTTTCAGCAAGTGTCCTTCGTATGCCTCGATTTCTTGCAATATTCACATATCTGCTCCTTCTTCTCAGTTGGACCCTTCGGCTTTATTCTAGCATGTTCAAAGTGTTCGTAGGTGGACTCTGTAACTGAACCTACCACCTACTCTCCTCACTGCTCACCATAGCATATGCCTAGGCAAGAGTAACCTCATCTTTGGCTAGAATATTCTGCCTAATAATGTCAAACTCAAGGTTGAGTCCAGTAAGAAATTCAAAAACCTGTTTCTTTCCACCAACTTCCTAAACATTTCTGCATCATTCCTACTCTCCCATACAACTGTCTCCATAACATCAATTTCCTGCCATAAGGATTTCAGTTTAGAATAGTAGATTGCCACACTCTTCTTCCCCTGTCTTAAGTTCTTCACATCACTTTTCAGCTTGTAGACTCTAGCCACATTCAACTTTTGTGAATAAGTTTTAGTAACACTGTCCCAGATCTCCTTGGCCGAGGACATCCAAAGATAGTGCTGACTTAAATGAGGCTGCATAGAGTTGACCAACCATCCTATGACAGTATAGTTCTCCTGCATCCATTTTTCAAATTCAGGGTCTATCTCTTTGGGTTTCACTTTACTGCGTATGAGGTACCCTAATTTTCCTCTACTACAGACATAAATCCTTATAGACTGTGCCCAAGCAAGATAATTTGTCCCATCTAGCTTAATTGTGGTCAGCCCAATCAAAACGGAATCTACCGAGCCAAGCCCAGAAACCGGCACCTGCTTGAACTCGCTTCCGTATTGCTCCATTAATCAAACGAAAATCAAAAAACCAGAATTTTGGTCTTTATAAACTTACTTGAAGTCAAACCAGTACCTAGATGCTTGAAAACTAGGGTTTCACTGTGTCCGGCTATTGGGGAGAAAGAGAGAAGATGCAACCGCTCCTACCAGAGCTTCCCAATCTCTTCTAGACCTGAACCACCCTCTTTTAGAAGTCAAAAGACACCTCCCAAGCACAGAGCGCCACACCCAAAGCTTCACATTTACCTATAACTTCGAAAATCTCTAATCGGCTAGGGTTTTGGGTAGAAACAGTACAGCACCACTTCTTGGCAATATCCAGCCAGATTTAAACTCTCCAAACCCTCTAGGCAAAAGATCCTTTGAACTAAAGAGAACCTATCTCTCCATAAGCTCTCTTAATCGAAGGGTGTATGGGAAAAGAGAAAGAAGAAAAGAGGGAAGAAAGAAACCTGCTCTGATACCAAGATGTGAAACAGTCCTCTAAAACTGATGTTAACTTGGAAAAATTAGAGAGGAAAAAGGAAGAAAAGAAGAGAACAGCAGTAGAAGAGAAAGAAGATGGAGAAAAGAGGAGGAAGAAGAAGAGTTCGAATGTCTCTTCCCTCCCTTCTCTAATCCTTTTACTTAACTTCAATATTAACATAATTAAAAGTATACCCTTGAGTGAGCGGCCAGCTAGGCAGTAACATAAAGAGAACTAAGAAAAAGAAATAACAGGCTCATTAAGACAGGCCCATTAGCTAACAGATAAATAAAAACATACTACAAGAAAAGATGCTAGGGCCCATTCGGCGCCGTCTCTTTACAATTAGAAATGGCCACTGGATTAGCAAGAAGAGCAGAATTAGAAATGGCCTCATTGTCAGATGGAAGAGCAGCTGTACATCTTGGATGCCCCCTTCTCACAACAGCATTAAGCTAAACTCTGGTTACAATAGTACAGCGAACCCTGTAAGATCAGCACCATCAGGCATTGGTGCTTGCACTTACATATCATCACGGAGAGTTCTTGATGGTTAACGACCTATAGGCATTTGGGATCTATTCAAGATGAGTACTGTCTTTAGTTCAGGAGATCTGATTAGCTATTCTCTAGGATGATGCAGCAGATTAAAAGTTAGAGATTCTCAACTCTCAAGTGACTTGGAAGATGCAGGAGGGTGCTTCAACTCCATGGCCAATCCATCATTCCCCCGAGATCTTTGCATCTAGCATGAAAAAACTCATTCAGTTGGGTGATTCTTTGGCAGACTCCCGAGCTATAGAGAGGAGACAGTACTGAGTTGTATTGGGGAGGGGGGGGTCTCCCCTATTGGTTCAATCATTGAGTATTACCGTTTGGGGGTATACTTCTATATGGTTAGCTAGTGTTACAGACTAACTCCATTTCCTCCATGTTGGGAAGTTTTCTTTTGTACTAATTTTCTTTTTTTACTAATAAATTACCAATAAATAAAGAAAAATGCAAGTATAGTGAAAGAGATGCATGATTGTCATTTATACTATTTCTTTTTTTCTTTCATATGTTATTTCTACCTTGACAAGTCCAGTAAAAAGAAGACATGATGGTGACAACTTCAAGGCTCTAACCATTGATCAAGAATATGCAAGTGCAAGTCCCCAGCCAGCTTTTTTCTAACTTGTTTGACAGTTTGGAGGGTATAAGCAAAGTAGGACCAACAGCTCTGATGCCAAATGATGTAAGACCAACTGGTATGATATCAATTAATAATATGATTGATATGATCCAATGGCAGAATTGTAACAATTTTGAAGATCAAGTGAAGAAAATGTGATACTTTCAAGGGTTAAGGTCAAAGGTTTTGGTTTGCAAGGCTAAGGATAGGTATATAGGAGGTGGATTAGGGTTTCACCAAGGTTTGACAGAAATTATTTAGAGAGAAATTGTGCTTGTATTATGTGCCACATATTATGTGGTGTTTAAAATGACAGGACAGAAGATAGTGCTTGTATTATGTACTCCACCTGGAGAGGCAATCCATAAGAGGAGATCTTGGAACTGCTTCAAAGACTTCAGTTGATGTTTCAGTGGGTGTTGAATGGTTTGAAGTGGAAGAACAAGAGGTCATTGGCTGGATGAAGAGAATCTTTGTTGGTCTAAGGCAGTTGAGACATCTCATTCAAGTTGGCATTGAGCATGAATATATCACTGAGATGGATGTGACAGATCTGAGGTTAGCCAGCTCACCAGTAAACAGCCTTGCTAGAGTGAGAATGAAGAGGAAATGGTTCTATTGGGGCTCTTTCTTTCCAAGGAAAACTTTATTTAGCTCCTATGAGGCTTATTTGCACCTAGGGATGCAAGTTGGGTTGGGTTGAGTAAAATTGAAGGACCAATTAACAGAAAACTATGAATCAAGAAAGAGAAGATATACCTTGAACCTGCTATTTTCAATGAAAAAACAGATCGAACTTCCTTGGAAGAAGACAGTGTGGTCAACAACTTTGCAAAAGCTTCGAAGGTGGATGCCTCGGAAGGGACATCTAAACATAGTGAGTTGTAGCAGTACGCTGTAACACATGCCACACTTTTCTTCAGAAGTGATATCCCTTTCTGCAGGTCCTTGTGAGTTTCAACTGAATGTGGAGAAGCGGAAGAATAATTAAAGCTACCCCTTCTTGCAGAATCCAGATGGGGTTTATTTTCTGAATCCATGGAAGCTACACCAAAATTACTTGAGCTTTTATCTGGCCATGAATTCTCTTCACCTGTGGAGCAATAGTTCTGACGGGGTATGAAAAGAGGGCATTCATTGCTGCAGGGCAAATATATTAACTATGTCAGTTGTTTAACAAAACTTAAGTTGGTCAAGCAAGACAATATTTCCAGGGAAAAGTACCTTCGAGAAGATGGGTGACCATCCCAATATGAATCCCGTTGCCATATACGTGAACATGAACCCTGAGACAAAATTTTGGAATGGAATATATACTAAAGTTACTACATATTAAAATTAACTTCTTAAACAAATTGTGCACAATATGCATCAAAGCTTACCGCAAATCCCGAGTTATGAAGTGCAGGAGCAGCCAACTTGTGGACAACAAGATTCAGAAGTTGCACCATGTATCTGTTTTCCAATTATTAGCTATTAGGCTAAAATACATTAGTTATCCAAGGAATATCCTATTAATGTATAGGCTGATTAGATAAACTATTTCAAATCCACCTAAGAATTATAGTGATGTTGACTTGATTAGAAATCTGAAAGAAAGAAAACATTTTTTTTGTAAGTAAATGGAAAAAGTTTTATTAAAGAAAGAAAACATGGCTACATATATCTGGTAAATTTTGAGTGCTTCCTCATGCATGATAACATATGCATGTATGGGAGAGGAATGATTATAAAATATCTATCATAAATGTTTAAATATTTCCATTTAATTGCACAAACATAAACTTTTTAGAATGGCTGAAAATGATGCTTCCCTACTTAACCAAAATGTCATTACCCAATGTTGGTCCCAGCTATCTGGGGTCTTGGGATGGGTGAACTGGATACAGACTTAACCCTTGGCCTTTTTTGATCAAAACATAACTGTTTCATTAGATAATTAAGAATAAGTACAAAGGCAGAGGGAGGTAAACTCTCTTAACTCTCCCCAGAAAATAAAAAGAAAATTATAATACAGCCCAAAAAAACTTATCCCTTCCCACCCCTTGTTTGGCTAGTGTATCTACGAATAAAATAGCACACCTCTTAACTCACTGCAGTCTCACTTCCATACCCTGAGCCAGCGACTTGAAGAGTCTTCATTCATAAAGACAAGGCCACATACCCTCATCCTAACCAACCTATCACCACTTTTGAGTCTCCTTCAACGATCAATCTGTTAATACTTAATTCCTTAGCCCTTTTTGCACCCTCATCCTCCTTCCTCTGTCCTAAAAACTCCACCACTCCCTGAAAACCCAGGATTACCTTCAGTGCTGCCATCAAAATTCAACTTAATGAAACTTGAACATGGCAGATTCCATAAAGGAAGAGAGACATTTCTACTTGGGGCTAAATCTGCCACTTCCTTCCAACTATTCAAATAGGTACACTGATTTGATCCAGTGAACTACCCTAGCAGTAATCACCTCAATAATTACCCCTCTATTTTTTCTCCTTTTCTGCAAAAATTCTTTGGTTTCTTTCCTCCCAAACTGTCCAACAAACTGCAGCTCTTAATTCTTATGCATCTCCACAGCATTCTTCCCTTCTTAGTCCAGCTATTGGCAGAAGAGTCAAAGAGGATTTGCATGTTTGGTGGTGGGTCCACCTGTGGCCAAACAGAGAAAAAACCAATCCCAAATAGAAGAAACAAAGGGGTAGGAGATTAATAAGTGGTGGTAGAACTCACCATTGGCCTTGCAAAGAATGCACCAGTTAGGGGGTAAGCACCAAAAAGGCCTTTTTTTCTTTGAAGTAGATCGCAAGTGTTGATTCTTTCCAAGAACGTCTCCCAACAAAGAGCCCCAACCCACGAAGAGACCAGTTTACCCCAAACCTCCTTAGTGGGAAAAGGTTGTCAAGGCTATTAAAAGGTTGAGTTAAGGCTTTGAACAAAGAGGCACAAGAAAAGGAACCAGAAGGGGAGAGGGTCCAAATCCGAGAGTCCAATTTAGAAGGTTCCAATGGAATCTTTTGAAGATTTTGTAGCAATGCCAAGGCATTGTCCAATTCCGAATCTCTAAGACCCCACCTAAACCCCGAAGCCCATTCTACCTCAAGACCCAAGCCCAAAGAAGACAAGAAAGTAGAAATAGGCTCATTTTTATAGTTGGAGATGGCAAATAAAGAAGGAAATTGTTCTTTTACTGGCCTTTTTTCTTTGCACAAAGTATTAAATTAGAAATCAGATTATTTGAAAGAACATCCCCAAAAGGTAACAAGATAGGATCTAGTAAGTTAATGCAAGGACAATAATATAGGTAGGAAATAAGCTGACTGGTAGAGACAGCAATTGAAGCTAAAATGTATCAAAAAAGCAAATAGCACTACATGTCCCAACATGTAGTGCTATGGTTTCATCCCTGATGGCAAATAATTGCATTTAAGTGAAAAGACCTATAAAAAACACCAAATCTCCTAAAATGTACATAATTATTGCTTTTAGTTTCCTATAAAAAAATATTCAAAAAGTTAACAGGATTGAAAAGACAATTTGATGCAGGGTGAGTAGGGGAAGAGATAGATTTAGAGAATGAAGATGATTAGAACAAGGAACAGGTTGAAAGGGCTTTAACAAGCCCTTTAATTTGATAGTATGAATTTAAAAATAAGCCAAAAAAAAAGTCCCTTACAGATCTGCCCATTTTCTTTATATAGGCTGATAACCAAGAAGCTTGCCTTCCAAGCCACATTAAAGAAACTTGCAGCCCAAGCCACAAACTAACAACAAAAGGCAACAAAACATTTAAGCTAACAAAATTACAAAAAGACCCTCATAGAAGACAGAAATAACAAAAGACTCCCCCTGGCTATAATATGCTACAGTAACCAGTGAACAGTGCTACTACAGTAATACGGGCTGTGTTGTCCTTCGTGCTCCTGCACCACTAGTCATCTAGGTGGTGCAGAAACAAAAAGGCACATGATTCACTGAGTGCAAGCTGTTCTTCCTTTCCGTTCAGCTTATGATTGCATTATACTTGCAGATCAGCATGACAATCTTTGACCAATTACTACTCAGTAAAGGAACATTTCATAAAAATGTAGATGTAGATAACTAGATATTATATTGATAACATGCCTTACCTGCTTCACATCTTACTAAGTTTTCCAGAAAAGTGAACTTAAAATCATTATAAAACTTTGCTAATAGATAATATTGAAATGTATAAAATAATCTGCAAATGCCTCATTTACCTAAGGACAAAATTCTCACCATGAGACCCACCAGACAATAGCATTTACAAATGAGCATAAGAATTTTGGAATTAACCAGAAGATATCAGAAAATCCACAAAGACCACCTCAGGTGTAGGATTTAGAAAATCTAATAAGGATTTTCCAGTAACATAAGAGCCATAGTTCCAAAAGCATGGATCATCAGTTCTCAACAAAGTGAAAATTACCCAAGAGAGGCTGCAAGCTCTTGAGATGGAACAGAATGAGGATCAAGACCTCTTGGTAAGCGAGCATTACATATTTGATCATATTGACCACTACATCCATCTTTTCTTTCTCCATCTATATTAACCTGGGAAAAACAAAAAAGGAAAGAAGAACAAAAAGTAAAAACTCTAGTTTACACAACAAATAAGGAAAAAAAGGGAAACAAGTAACCGAGCAAGGTTGATCCTAAGAGGAGGTTTCCTAAAAAAGAAGTATAAAAAAAGACCTTTACCCTAGCAAATGGCAAAACAAGTTATCTTTGGAAACCCCTCTCTAATTGAACTCAACAACGAAATTAGCCAATTACAGGACCAATAAGATGAGGAGTTCAAGATAGATGGTGGAGACCAAATCTCTCTAACCATTCAAATTAGAAATTTTCCTTGTCAGGGTGGGGTGCAGTGGGGGGATAAGTAACCATGTCTTTTCGGCAAGGAGCCTCCACTGGTTCATTCATATCCTGATGAACTTTTTTCTATGGTTTGGCCCTTGGCTAGGACAAGGTCCACCAGAGCCCAGCCTGATGCAACCTTTGTCAATATTTTAGCCCTGCCCCATACCTGAATCATGTAATATGGATGACAACATATGCAACTGCAGACTGTTGTATCCTAGAATACATGGCATACCAATTTCTACACTTCTCTATTATCAATTTAAGGCATATCAATTCCTAATTATCATATTTAAATTCCATTTTAAATATGATAATTAGAATGTCCTATATTTATAACTATATTTTGTAGCTCCATATCCCATGGTGCCAGAGATGAGCCTCATGGCCATTTTTTCTTTTCAACAACAAACACAGTGATAACTAGATTATCAGAAAAATGATACAAGATCTGAATAAAAATCATTGAATTGTGACAACCACCATGGACCACTAGGCCCTCACAATCCCTTTCTCCCATCTAAGTCAACCAGTAAAGCTAAAATACTTATATGGATAACTCCTCTGATCCCAAAGGAGAAAGCCATAACCTCTACTTCCACCTCCCCAACAGACCCACTAGATGGATAACTCCCCCTTGATCCCAAAGGGGGCCTTGGTTTTACATGAAAAAGCCATTGACCTCCTCAAAGCCAAGAGTAAGATGGACCAATCAAAAAATAAGTCAAGAATGGGATGAACAATGAAGGCAGGGAATGACTGTGTATATATTTGTAGATGAGGCTTCAGAACATGCATATCATACTAAAAATCACATCCAATGGAATTAAAATTTCAGACATCATATTTGTCTACATAAGTACATCATTGTTGGAGTTCATTCAGTAGATAAGTTTGATGAAAATAAGAATGTAAGATTTTGTCAAAGTTGAATCAAAGATACATGCAAAATCCAAGTGCTTACCCGGCGTTGTGGAAACAATTTGCAGATCTTTTTTATAACTACTGATTGTTTATGAAGGCGTTCAGAGGTAATTGCCATCTGCAATGCATTCAATAGTTTAAGCATTAACCCATAGTGCATCTAATAGTTAAAGCTTTAAAAATGATGGATAAATCAATGGTTTATATGCAGTATTTTAAAAATCATACAAGGCCTACACCTTGAGGCTCAACTCAAGGCAAGGCACATACCTTACTGTATACATGTGTTTGTATCTATATTTTAAAATATTTAAGGCCATTTTGAGGTATTATTTGTCATTTAGAGCTTCTTAATAGTTTTTTCTTTTTTGTTTTTTGAAAAAGATAATTGCTGAACTGAAGCCCAACGATACAACAAACAGGCAGGGCAGGGTTACCCACTAGGCAGACCCCCCCCCCCAATAAGAACTTCAATCATTCCACAACAGTGAACCATTACAAAGCTGGACTGGAGACATATCTGCAACCTCTTTTAGAAACAGAGGTCCAGGACCTACCAATCACAACATTTATCAGCTCCTCCACACACATTGATCTTTGGGAGAACACTCTTCCATTTATTTAAGACAAAATTGTCCAGTCCATATGATGGCAGCAGGAACAAGCTGCCAAAATAACTTTTCCTTTGGCACTGAACTCAGGCCTATGACACACACTTGGAAGCTCCGGCAAGGATCCTGGCATTACCCAGGACAACTTGGCTGCACCAATAAAGTGCTCCCAAATTCTATAAGCTTCCTGGCAATGGAGGAATGCGATGGTTTTCTCTGAAGAACTTAATATTCTCAACACCTTTGTTTACGAGATCATTTACTCATTTATACGCTTTTCCTACATAAAAATATACATCTACTATGCATATTTTATACTCTTCCTCATATTAATTTGATGTTTTTATTAAAAATTGGTAACCAAGAGGCTTAAGCCTCACAACCCAAGGCTTGTACCTTGCATATCTAAATTATGGTGCCTTGCCTCATGCCTCTGTTGTTAAACAGTAGTTATAGGAACCTCAATGAAATAATGGCATATTTAGCCAGAACACGAGATAGAAATACTAATAAATTAATGTGAGTAGTTGCTCCCCATTCAAAAGGAGGGTCCTCAAAGAAGACCAAACTATGAAAAAAGTTCTTACATGTCCAAGGCTCTGAGTGCAAATAAGGTTTGGGTAAAATTTTTCCAGCTGCTCCACACGGTTCTTTTCCAACTGCATTGAACATGACCAACTTAAATAAGTGAACCAAAAAACAAAATAGAAGGTTAATAGATAATTTAAAACTTCAAAGTTCATTGAAAAGAGCTAAGATGGGAAAATTTTGCTACCATGGATTGGGCTGATTCAAGCATCCCATATCTAACCTTCAAATCATTAGACATCTTTTCAAGCATAGCCTTCCCTACAAGAACAATCAACTGGAAATCCTTATTCAAATGTATAACCTAAATTACAGAGGACATTATATATAATGGAACAAACCTTGTAGGAGTTGTTTCTCTGTAAGACAGAGCTTCTCCCTTAATCTTGCAAGTTTCTCATTCTGGAGCACTCTCCAGTTGAGCTGATCATCAGCTTTACCCTGGTGAGTGATATAGGCAAATAGTTATTATAAATAATAAAGAATACACCATGTCATGATCTTTGAATATAAAAATAATAAAACAGCTTTCAATCAGTTGTCCAGATTGGGCCAGTAATATTAGCAACAGGAAAGAGGTACTGAGCAAAGAACAAAGGAAATACAAAGGCATGACCGCATGAATATAACAGACAGGAAAAGATGATTAATTGAACCAATAATTTATTGTAAGGAAGACAAATTTGATCTATTGATTTCTTTACTTTACAATATATTAAACTTTGCCCATTAAGGATGTAAGTTAAGTTCTAGCAAATTTCTAAGCAAGATTATTGACAATGAGGTTCACCAATTAAAACAACAAGAAAGGTAATTCTAATATTTTCTTTCTTGTTTGGTATCCCAAAATCAAGCAAATTAATTTACCTCATCGTCCCTGCATTGTGATGTACTCCCATAAATGAATTTTACCTTCATTTATTTGTTTTTCCAATTATTACTTTCTCTCACATGAAGACATTTTGGCCAATGTAGTAAATACATGCATACTATTATTAACATTTATAAGGTTTCTGATTTCTCTCTCACATCATTCTTCCATGCTCTTTTTTACTTTTATGCCTGTTTTTTCATCACATCCCAGATCACATCATGTAACAGAGCCATGAAGGGAATGATTCTTTTCTTTTCTTTTTGGAAAAGGTAAGATAAAATTTTATTTCATAAAAACAATAAGGTACAGAGATTCCAGGACAGATTTACTAGTCCGGAAACAAGGTAAGATTCTTTTCTTTTCAAAATTTCACCACCGTTATATTATTATCATTATTTTTTTGTAATTGAATAAGTTTCAAGCTGATAAAAGATCAGATATTCTATCCAATGTGAAATGGTGGTTTCAAAGTCAGAATCGATGAATCTTGAGTTGCTCTTGGTAGGTTCCAAGCCCTCTTTACATTAAAAACATAAGAGGTCAGGTGAATGTTGATGCTTTCTTCCATTTACATATGAAGAGCAGAGGCTACCAAAAGTCCTATATATGGTGATTAAATCTTCCAATAGACCCTCCATGATACTTCAAGATTTGCAACAGACTATTTGCTGATTTCAGTGTGTTCTGATCTCTTCCACAATGTTTTTTTAAGTGCTATAATCTCATTTATAGTTGATTAGGACTGAATGTTTCTTTAAGTGCTATAATCTCATTTATGGTGGATTGGGACTGCCAATTATGTTTTCTGAGTTGCAGTTCCCATCTTATGAGTAATAATGCACATGTTGATTTGTAGATGATCTGATCTCGGATTGTCATGTTTGTGAAGTCCAGAAATGTCTCATTAAGATTTTTTTTTTAATTTCAAATGGCGCCCACCAAACTAACAGATGTAACTTTAGATCATGCAATGGACCAAGTCATTAAAATATCCAACCAAGAAGCAACTTAAGTCAGATGTAGTTAATTATGCACAGTGTCTTCACAGAGCTACTTTGGCTACCCCTTGGAAAGCCATCTATAATTGTGTTCCTATCTTCCTCAGTCGCATCAGGTATGACTTGGTTTTGGGTAAGAATATTAGGTTCTGGGAAGATATTTGGGTTGGGGAGTCCTCTTTATCTTTCCCTCTCTTTATTGAGGGTAGCCTGTATTGTCTGAGTTCATTGAGTTCATTGAGTTCATTGAGGGTAGACCTATGTCTGTATTGTCTGAGCAGACCTATGTCTGAGTTCATTGAGGGTAGCCTGTATTGTCTTATCACCTTGATCTTTCTCCCCTCCCTCTCCTTCTGGATTGAACTGGAATTTGGGCCTCACTAAGAATCTTAGAGAGTCTGAAATCCCCTTTGTGTCTGTTGTGCTTACCTTGCTAAGTCCTGTGGTTCTTGGGGAGGGGGTGTGGACCCTCAATGCGGTTGGGACCTTCACTTGTAAGTCTTTGTTTAACTCCCTTGTTACCTCCTCACACCTTCCCTTTCTCCTACCTTCCCTATTAAGGAAATTTGGTGCTCTCCCATTCCTCCTAGAGTCAATGTTTTTGCTAGGAAGTGTATCATGGTTGCATTAATGCTTGTGATTTGATGAAATCTGTACTATATGCCGTAGAGGGGCATTTTTGTCTTTTCCTTTTTTATGTTTTTGGTCGCCCTAACATATAAATAATAAAGCTGGCACCACCAGAGAGGATTATTTTGGCTCTCTGGTGGAAAACATGGTATCAGAGCAGGTGGTGCTCTGTAAAATCTCCTCACTGCATCAGTTGATTGTTCTGTGCTTTCTGGACTGAGAACAAAGGAAACATACTGATGTTCTGGACCTGAGAACTGTTCAGCTGCATCTCTTTCGTCTGTTCTGGGCTAAAACTTGACTGAAGTGATCCCAGGAGTCGTTAATGATTGGCTGAATCTTCCTAAGAGGTCGGCTGTTCCTTTTTCTTTTCTGTTGTTCCCTACTTTGTTACTGGAAAACCCAGAATTCTGTCGGACTGATCAGGGACACTTCATAAACCTTTTTGTTTGGTTCTTGGTGCTGATACCAAGAACAGGTTAAGATTCTTTTTCCTTGACCGAATGATATAAGGTGGGTTTAATTCCTTTGTGGGTCGGATGATCCAGAAAACCTTTTTTTTTTCTTGCGAAGAAATTTGTAGGTCATGAGTGACCTGGTTCGGCTGACTGGTACAGCAGCTGTTTACTGATGTTTGTGGCTAATATCAACCTTGGGGGATCTGTTACACCTGTGAGAGTGTTCAGGTGATCAGCATAGCAGCAGAAGTTGGGTTTTGATTGTTAATTACTCAGAGTGAGGGCTGTGTCTTCTCTTGTGGGTGTGTATAGACTGAAATCATGAACGCTGAAGAGTCTGCAACTTCGGGAACCACCATGAATCACAGTGGAATGAGTAGTGGTCATGATTCCATGAATTTCCTAATGACTATCACCCCATTGGATGGTAAGAATTATCTAGCTTGGTCTAAGGAGATGCGGCTGTATATCACAAAGAGGGGTAAGGCAGGATATATTAATGGGAAAATAAAGAAACCTAGGGCTGGTACTGCAGAATACGATAAGTGGGACCAAGAAAATTGCATGATTATGTCTTGGCTTTTGACATCCATGTTACCATCCATCAAACAGAATTTTCTCTGGGCCGAGACAGCAAAAGAAATATGGGACCAAGCCAGTGTTTTAAAAGCGCAAAACTACAAAAGAAAAAAAGCTAAAAAATCAAAAATAAATTTTAAAATAAATGTTTTAAAAAACCAATTATTTAAAATTGAAATACATAAAAATAACATGTAAAGCGTATTCAAATGAAAATTTAAAAATAAAAGCAAACATATAAAGCATTTTGAAGCATGTAAGATCTCTTTCTTTCCTTAATTGCATTGCTTCAAGTAGCTAATGTGATGTAAAACATATTGCATTCTTGATTCTCTAAGTCGCCTTTGTACCACGCCCCTCGAGGCAAGCCCGAACAGCCCAGCCGTTAGACTCAAAAAAGGCAAAAAGGGCAAAATTTAAAAAAGGCGCACGCCTGGGATGAGGCGCAAGGTGCACACCTAGGCACACCTGGTGGGCGCCTTTTGAAAGGGGTGAGCCTAGGACCTGGGCAAGGCGCATACCCCAAAATGCGTCTCGCCTGTGCGCCTAGGCGCACCTTTTAAATCACTAGACCAAGCACAAGCAACTTACTCAGAGCAGAGGCATTATGCTAGAATTTACCAGCTACAAGCAGAATCTTCAACATGTAAGCAGGGAGAAAGGAACTTATCGACATATTATTATGCGCTCACTTCAGTTTGGAAAGAACTAGGCTATTACCAGAACATTGAGTGGGAAAGTGAAAAAGATAATAAAGCATATAAAAAGTTAGTTTCACAACAAAGGGTCTTTACTTTCCTTCTAGGTTTGAATCCCGTGTATGAACCTATTCATGTTCAGATTTTGGGCAGCAGGATCTTCCATCTATCCAAGAGGTTTATGCACTTGTTCAGTTTGAAGAGAGTAGGAAGTCTACCATGAATCCTCCTGAGGAGGAGACTATTTCTCTTGCTGTAAGGGGTAACACTGGGGCACCGAGAAAAGGGGAAAATCAGAAAAAGACAGATGATAAAGACAAAATGTGGTGTACTCATTGTCAAAAACCTAGGCACACCCGTAAAACTTGTTGGGAATTGAATGGGAAACCGAAATGGGCACAGGAATTGGGTAAGAAATCAACACAAGAACCAAGCAAGAAGCCATACCAGAAGAAGTTTACTTCGGCTCACTTAGCATCTCATGAACATTAGAGTACTTCTCAGGGATGCCTCCCTTGTTTTGACCCAAAGGAAGATATTATCAATTCCTTCCGTGACCACTTAGAGCAATATGGTAGGGCTCTCTGCAATGCTGATTCTGGACCCACACCTTCTACTTCTTTTGCCTCCTCTTTAGGTAATCCTGCCTCAACTTTCCATGTGTCTACTGATAACCCGGAATCCCCATGGTTTATTGATTCCGGTGCATCCAACCACATGACTGGTAAGTCAACCTTGTTTCAAACATATTCTCCTCTCTGGCAGAGATAAAGTGAGGCTAGCAAATGGATCCTTCTCATCCATTGCTGGTCAAGGATCTTTGCCTTTTGGCCTCTCCTTATCTAATGTCCTACATGTTCCAAAGTCACCTATTATTTTGTTATCCATTAGTAGTATTACTCATGCCTTGAATTGCTCAGTAACCATTCTTCCACATTCTTGTGTTTTTCAGGATTTGGCTACCGGGAGGACGATTGGTAGAGGGAACATGGTGGATGATCTCTACATGCTGGAGAACAAAGTCGGTCTTACAGTTTAGTTTTTGAGTCCGTCGAGTAAGAGTCAGATTATTTTGTGGCACCACCGTTTGGGGCATGTGTCTTTTGAGTCTTTGAAGTTTTTATTTCCAAAGTTGTTTAAGTCTTTGTTTGTTAGTGATTTTTAGTGTCAAGTGTGTCAACTGAGTAAACATTGTAGAACCTCA